TACGTATAAACTCAGATTTGTGTCAAATCGCAGATCGGAGAAAAGATACAAGAAAGTCTCTGGACACATTTATGAGTGCAACATTTCGGCTGTTTTTAAGTTTGAATCCAAAAAAAACAGTTCTGTTGTGGCAATGCAGCACTTCCCAGCAACTCGAGCGTAATGTGGATAACAAACCGAGGAACTAGTCAGGGTAGATAAAAAGTATCGATCTGGGAACGATTTGTACAAAGTAATCATCATTATTTATCCAAATAATATCCGTGACTTACTTACAGCAGTTTGGTTTTAATGTTCTGCACAATTTGAAGCATCATCATAGAGCTCAGACTCATGAATGGGTCTGTTGCATCAAATTTTAGCTCAATATTTGTAAAATGAGTGGAGTTGTAGCCGTTTTTGTGTTGAGTGGCCACCTTGAAGTTGTAGCGGTGATGACCGCATCAACGAAAGGATGGAGGTGGTGTAGTCTACATTTCTGTAGTGGGTACACCGCGGAGAAGTTAGTTTTACGTTGGACACCGGTGAAGCCACAAAGCGCTAATGTCCAACGTAAACTTTACTGCGGTCGGTCCGTATACTGCATAGAAACCAAAGTACACTGGTTAGTACAAAGTGATCGTCACTTTATTTAGATTTTTAAGCATATTGAACATTTAATTTCTCTGATGCTTATATTTCAATAAATGTACAACAAACTTTGTGCAACAGTTGGCTTTGTATTAAAAACATGTCATAGAATTTATAAAACAGTATCAAAGCAAAACATGTTCAAGTATTAAGTAGTAAGTACAGAAGTATTAATTGTACAATAATTTGCTGGACAAGCAATAAGCGCTCATACAGACAGATTGTTACTGAAGCATTTTAACGCATCAGTGACACGTGTCTAATGATATATCATGTGTCATTGGGCACTTTTAAGTGGGTACACTGAAATTCTTAAGATTTTCTAGTAGGTATACTCTGTATACCCACGTATCACATAGACTACACCTTTTCATCCAATGACTACTTCCAGAATGTTGAATTAAAATCTGGTCAGTGGTTCATGAGATTTTCTGTTACTATGGTGTCTATAGGTGATTACTGCCACCTTTCATTGTGCTCAGCTGATTTTCTCCCTCCTCAAAAATGTATTAAATTTGGATGTTTGAACTCTTTTTGGTGTGTTAGTCTTTTTTTAATATCGCGTATAGTCTAATTTTGACAAATAACTCAGTTTTCTGAGCAGCAGGATGAACTTTGCTGCGTGTGGCTTGATGTTAGCAGTTGACTGATGACTTCAAGGACAAAAACTAGACCATGTGGGAGATAAAAAAAAACACTGAAAGATTAAGAAAACATCTAAAGCCCAACTGGAGTTTCTCGTATCTCTCCTCCATGATGCTTCGTTGTAGGTCTCTGTCTCAAAGATGAAGGGAATTTATGAGCTGCCATCAGCTGAAGCCAAAGTTAACATCGTTCTGGGCTTGTTCGACGAGAACATCCAGATCTCCATCATGGACCATCGGCACATCACTCGCTGGCCCTCGAGTCCTGCCAGGAAGCCTACGGGACCTTGACCCGTCTGCCTGCCACACGATGAGCTCTCCAGTCCTGTTTGCTTTAACAGTGCTGCGGAGCCTCCATCCTTTCACTGGTGCGGTCACCATCTCTGCATCCACAGACGATGACTACACTCTTGGTCCAAACCGTTTACTCGACAGCTGGTTCTCCGGCGTGCTGACAGATGTGGATCACTTTTTCCTTGTATGGACATTTGGAGTTCTTGTTAGATTTAAAGGTGGAAATGTCTCAAAATGATGCAAGATTAGGAGTTGGAGATGTGGGTTTGCAGAAACATGCGCACAGATCTGAGCTGGTTCTGTTTTTACTGGCTGATCTGACCTTCTGCGCCCTTTGTCACAGAAAACTGTCCTGGACACCAATGAACGAAGAAGAACCGTAACTCCGAGACAAATGTCTCAAAAACGGATGGATGGCTTTAAATGTTCGTGGTCGAGATTTGAGTCAGCTGTTAGTTTGCCGGACGGAGAAGCTACACGGTGAGGTGGTCTGCTTCATCACAGAGGAAGCAGGAAAAATATGAAACGTGACTTTGAACAGAGGCAGATGTTCCACATATTTACAACCAGTCCCTCTTGTGATTTATTGAGACGTACTGGAAGTAAGGACTGAGGCCAGACCTCGACTCGTTTTAACTGGAATCAAGGGTGGAAACAAGCGGAAGGGTTTGAAGCATGACTAAAGATCCCCTCCCGATGTTTAATGCACCTTCAAGAATGTGGCGCTGCACAAAGCTGTGGAGGAGCAGGTTCTACAGATAGGTCCAGTGTCAGGGTTTCCTCTTTGTTCCCAGACAGCCCGTGTGAAGACCGGAAACAATTCGTACGCTTGTTAACCCACTCGCCATGACAGAGTATGAAGGAACGTGGAGGGAGAAGATGATGAGAATTCATATCAGGCCACAAACACATCCAAGCCGAGTCCGTGCTGAGAGCTGATGAGCGATAAATCATCTGACAGAAACTATTTTTTTTATTTAACGGGTGGCATTCCAGCACGTGATGCAGAAAACAACTTCCTCAAAGGTTCCCAGAAACCACTTTTCCACAGGAAGCTTCGTTTACCAAATACGGTCCAACTCGGAGCTGGGAGAACTGGCCTCATGGAGCTGATGAACTTGATCCGGTGTTGAAGACCGAAAAACCACAAAATAAAATACATTCCACTGCAGATGAGAATCCATTTGTAATAAAGGGCTTGGACTTAAGATGTTACTGTTCGCACAGCACTGTGCAAAAGTTTTAACACCCTTCTTATTTACTTATTTAACTTTGCCCTCAAGCCACCAGACTCTTGTATTTTATTACCGTTAAGTTGTGCTAAATAATTTTTCTTTTTGGCTTTCTAAAGGTTTTTTAGTTTTAGTTTTGTACATGGGCAGTTTTTCCAATGAAGTCCAGTCAGGTCATCTGGACGGTTTCTTATATTTGTTGAGGCGTTTCATCCTTCATCCAAAGGACTTCATCAGTCTGAGAAGCCACAACAAACTCGGTCCCACAAGCAGCACACTGGGCCAACCAGTTTGCTGGTGATAAGATGGTTCTGGGGCCCACCCTCTCCCCCATCAACTCCTCTGAGGAAGCCATAGCCAAAGTGGTTCAAAACATCAAAGTTCATGCTCAATCATCCAGGTAAAAAGTCCATCAAAGTTCAGAAAGTTCATCATTCAAATACGTAAGTGTGCTGCATGTGGGACTCAGTTTGTTGTGGCTCCTTGGACTGAAGAAGTCCTTTGGATGAAGGACCAAACATATCAACAAAAAAAGAAACCGTCCAAATGCCCAACTTTGTTGGATTTATTTATTTTTTTTACTAATTATTGAGCATGAACTTTGATGATAGGTAATTTTTATTTACAGGCACTTTAACAGCCTGTTGCAAACATAAAATGTATTCCCAATTTATACACAGTAGTCCCTCGATACTTCGTGGTGCGTTTTTCGTGGACTTGCTCTGTCGCAGTTTTTCAAAGTAAGATTGGACATGACACACAATATGCTGATTCATGGATGAGGCGCACAATCGGCATGGCATTTTTATTTAAAATAAATTATTTAAAATTATTTAGCAGCTGCTGCACAGGTGTGTGCAGCCCACAGCTGCAGGAGAAGCTTCCTCCTGCAGCGTGTCATATCGCCGCTCTGCAGCGGAGAAGTGGGCGTGGCCGAGAGCGCTGGCAGAGGCCGAGAGCTGAAATCATGACATTTTGTGCTCTTTAGACTGTTTAGAGTTTAGAAACATTGTTTAGAATATTGCACGAGTGTGGAAAGGGTTTAAAACATTGTTATGTATATATATATATATATATATATATATATATATATATATATAAACTACTACTTGTACTATTATTCCTACTTGGCAGTTTTTCACTTATCGCGCGGGGCTTCAGGGTACGGATCCCCCGCGATAAATGAGGGACTACTGTAGTTCCATCTTTTAAGATAAGCCACACCAAATTTGACTGACTTGAAGGATTTTTGCAAATGATTATAAAAATCCTTATCTACACAAAGTACTGCTCAAGAAAACTAATTAGGCTTTTGCATTGTAAACTATGCAGATATTGAAGACAATTTCCTCTAAGCAGGAGCGGAGTCCTTTTTGAAAACGTTTTTGCTCCTGAAATTTAGAAACAAACTTTCATTTGCATTCTAACGTGATTCATTCAACCTTTATTTAAACAGGTTAGTCCCACTGAGCCACGAGGACTCATTGACAAGAGAGACCTGGTGACAGTTCGTTGTGTCAAATGTTCACTAAAATAAACAAGTGATTTTCTAAATGGATCTTAATCCGGTCAGTCGTGGGTTAAACCGGATAGTTTTAAGAGCTTCTCTGTGATTTCAAGACACAGTCGATGCTAAAACTTTGTCTCATCTTTGTGCGCTCATTCATTCCACGAGTGAAAGTCAAGTTTCAGGGAAAGATCTCTGATTGTAAAGACACTCCACTTACAGCTTCGGTGTCGATGAGAAGAAGTGACTCATCTCCAGCCGGTTGTACCATCACATCCGCTAATTATCTTTGTTCTCTCCTGTAGAGGATTTAAGAGGAAATTCTGTTCACTTCTTAAAGTGTCGGTGACCAAACTGGACATCTGCACGGTTTAAAATAGAGACAAAGCAAGTTCTAAAGAAATAATGTTTTTACAATCTCTAAACACAAGTTTAACTCTAGAATAGTGATGCTATTAGACGTGCTGTTAGCGGAGTTTGTCCTCCTCCTGCCCCCCCCCACCCCCAACAGATCTCATACTTTAGTCTCACTCAAGTTTGACCGTTAGTTTGGACACCCGCTCCTCGACCCACCCGGAGCTGCTAGACCTCTGCAGCTGCTGCTGAAAGATAAAAATGTAAACCAGATAAATTGTTCGAGGATAGAACAACCCACGGCTGGTAAAATAAACACTCCAGTCTCCAATATGGATGTTTTTTTTATTATTATTGAACGAAAAATTTAACACTGAGAAAGAAACACATTCCTCGTGTGGCAAAAACAGAAAAGAAACGCGTAAAAAGAAGTGAAGCAGGAATCTGATGGATACAGGATCAAAATATTGAAGTCTCACGTCGTCTCATACCTGCGGAGAGAAGAAAAAACAAACAATAAAAGCACAACTAAAGCAGCTACTTAAAAAAGGTAAATATGATAAAATAAAGGTTTCCAGTTTTAAAACAAAATCATCAGTTTTTTTTTTAAACTACGAACAAAAACTACTACATCCTGATCTGAAGGGGGAGGTTGAAGTTCATCCACATTAAAAATAAAAAAAACTATTTGTCTATTGCTTTTATTCTAATCAAGTAATTCTTTTAAAAAAACTGTAAGCAGGGTTTAATTTGAGACAGATCCTGCTGGAACAGGATCCAGGAACTCTTTTATTTTGACAGGGTGCGTTCCGGTAACTGTTTGCATGGATTTGGTAACCTAATAATAAAGTTATGAACAAATTTGACTCGCTTGAATGAATAATTTTTTTTCATTCAACCTTTATTTAAACAGGTAAATCCCATTGTAATGTAATCTGAAAATAAAACACTAATTTTAAACATAACAGCCACTTATGAGCTTCTTAATATTACAAGAGAGCTGCCCCTCCAAGTAAGCATTTCCACTTCACCCATAAAAAAATCTCTGCCCCTAAAAGTTCAGTCATGGGCTATTTAATTAAAAACACACAAATATAATTAAACAGCACGACTAAATTGCGGATCAGTTTTAAAGTTTAAGTGTGTCATTAATAAAATGTTGATTATTTATTAAAAATACGAAAGGTTTGATGGGTAATCACGTGGCATGCATCACGTATCAAAACAACGGCGCCAATTTGTCAAAATAACAGCGATCAAAATGTCAAAAAGATCGTCCAATTTACTTTCATTTTAAAAAGAAGTCTTCTGATTGTACAACTAAACAACGGAGAATTGAAGCACATGAAGGCAGTGGCAATAAAGACACTGGAGCAGGAGCGAGGATGCTTGAGAGAAGCGGAGCATGCTCTATTCACACAAGGAGAGCTGTTGGTCAGGCTACTTCTTGTTGCTCTCTAAAATAATGATTGAATCAAGTGTTTACAAAACAACCCATTAAAATAAACAAGAATGCAGGAAATGGCAACTACTTTGTTCAAATTTTTTGTGGGATATAGTTTGGTTTACAAACTACCAGTAAGCACTGCGTGTAACCCTTTAATAACTCTCACTAAAACACTAACAGGCCAGTTAAAGACAATCAGGACATAGCACACTGGAACAGTCACTGAACACTCGTGCTCTGGGATCAAACCTGTTAAAATCGGACCCACTGTAACCTCTTTGGCTCTTGAGCTGCCTGTAACATCCAAACCAAACATATGAAGTAATCCTGACAGTGTTTATTCTGTCACACTGCACTTGAGCCTCATAATGAAATGACATAGTATTCACAGAGGGCCTAATTTGGTCATCAACACCTCATCGGTCTCATCACATGCAGCGGTGCACTCCTCCACAGGAGGCAGGCAGTGGCCGGTCCAACACTAACATAACAAAACATCCCGGCATCATTAGATGCTCAGCGTTGGTGATGTGAGCCGGCAGCCATGTTTACATTCCTCAGGCGCTGGCTGGTGAAACGTGGTCAGGCAGCAGCAGACGCTGCGTTGTGCTTTATCACAACACACAACTTCCTATGACAAGATCCTGACAAGTGTGGAAGTTTTTAAAGCCAGAAGGCTGTCTGTAGATCAGTAAGAGGATTATATATAACCCCAACAGTACTTCCACACCGTGAGCAGCTCTATATAACCAAACTTCTCTGTATTTGCTAGCAGCTAAACTAATGTGAGCCCTGTTTCTTAAAAACAAAACTTGTAGGACAGAAATTTAGACCTGCTTTGATAATTCATCAAACTTTCAGAGTTGAGCAAGTAATTTAAAAAGCTGTGTGGGATTTATTAAAGACACAAACAGTTGGTACCAAAATAAGAAGAGACCAATGTGATGAACACATGCAGATGTTTCAGGATCAGTAATGATGGGAGCAAACTTACCTTGGCTGCGATATTTCTACTCATCAATGTACTTGAAAGGCTCGGGGGGCTCAGGCTCCTGCTCTTCTTCCTCTATTTTGGGCCCGTGGGCTGAGACGGGCTCCACCAGCTCCTCCTCCTCTTCACTGGTGTCTTTTAGGATGATGATCCCGCCTGTGTGCAGCTGGTGACAGACAGGGAGAAGCAGATGAAGTTTAAAGCTCCGTGATGTTTTTATGCCAACATCAGAGTTTCATTAGGGCTTTTTCAAATGTTTCAAACACTGTGAAGCTCGGAGCCAGTTTGATGAGAACTTTAAAGAAAAAATAAAGATGCAGAAAAACATTACTGAGCAAAACAGGAAATCTCATAATCTCCACAAAAGATGTCTTTAATAAATGTCCTTACACTGAACAGATTTCAGGATAAGTCTGTAAAAACTCCACTTCCTAAACCTGCCTTGGAATAAAAAAACAAACCCTTAAAAGGAAGGCAGCGTTACCAAACTTTAGACAAGCTAAGACACATTTTGGCACTTGATATAGAACACCGTACAATACAATACTCTGTGCTTTGCCTGCTGGACACAGAAATCAAACAGAACTTCCTCTTAACGGGGCTGAAGCGAGAGCTTATTGGGTGACTGCTCGTGGTCTTTCCATTTACTGCAGAGAACTGTCAACATTTACAGCAGGACCGCCGGGCCGTGCTCTTTATAGGCTTGGAGAGGGAACTTTTAGGTACCAAACAACGGCCAACATCAACCAACAAGCTGGACCCTGACGTGAAGGATTTATTTAAGGGGAAACACTCCTCTCTGAGATACTTTACACTGCTATATTTTATTACTCGACATGTTAGTATAATTACTTAGATTTAGATGTCACATTCTGAGGTCTTTCAACTATAAATAACTTTGTAGATCACTCAGATCCTTTTAATAAAGAGCTTCATAGTGATACTATATACTTATACTATATACTTAATAGTACTATTGTGATTCTGTTTATATTTCTTCCTTATAGTTACTATCCCTACTCCGTACGTTTTTCAGCATTATTTCTTATTCCACAATTTTTGCACCATTTCAACAAATCATACATCAAAACATTCAGCTCTTGCAGGAGAAGTGTGCTAGGACTTTTGGTATTGGTGCAACTTTAGCCTTTTGAAATATTTAGCCTTTTCTGCCATTTTTTCCTCATATAAAATTAATTGAGCTCATTTTACATCCTTCATATCTTTACATCTGTTTACAACCTTTGACTGCTCCTTTCACATTTTGTTCTGGTTCAGTTTCTTTCAACTACCTTATACCAATTTAAACATTTTTTCAGCTACTTTCAGCTGTTTTGTGCTAATTTCTGCGTTATTCTGCAAACTACAACATGTTCGTTCTTTTTCTAACTTCTTTCTGCAAATTTCAGCTTGTTATGCTCCTTTCAGCTTATTTGTGTTTCAGCTATTTTGGCTATTTCAGCTACTATTTAGCTGTGTTTATGCTAATTTTGGATTTTTTTTCAGCCAATTCTACATGTTTTGCTCTCATTTTTACTTTTTTAAGCCTAATTCAGCAAAAATGTGCTCTCTCCACTTCCTTCTGGTAATTTTAAGCTTCTTTCAGCTTTTTTAGCTACTACACAGCTGATTTTTTTTGTAAATTTCTGCTTTTTTCAGATCATCTCCACTTATTCTCATTTCTGCTTCTTTCAGCCTAATTGAGCACATTTGTGCTCTCTCCACTTCCTTCTGGTAGTTTAACCTTCTTTCTGCTTTTTTTGTTTTTGCCAATTTCAGCCTGTTAGCTAATTTACTCAAATTTGTGCTCATTTCTGATTATTTCAACCAAATTCAGCAAATGTGTTCTGTCTGTTTTCTTCTACTTATTTAGGCTTGTTCTTCCATTTCAGCTAGATTTCAGCATGTTTTTACTGAAATTCAGCTGTTCTTCAGCAATAAGCATTCACACTGTATTTTCGCAGGAAATGCAGTTTCTCTAGTCTTCAGTTGTTCACAAAAATTCTGAGGCTGTTACCGGTTTGAAGGGCTGGTAGCGGCAGGACTCCGGCATTATCAGGACTTTGAGCTGAGCCGGCATCGCTCTGGCCGGGTTCTCCAAGAACTGGAAGTTTGGCTCTGCCTCTTTCTTCTTCTCTTTCTCCTTCTCCTTCTCCTTCTCTTCATCCTTCTTCTCCTTCTCGCCCTCCTGAACTTCCTATAGAAAGAAAATTAGAACTCCCTGCATCAAACAGCAACAATTATTTCCCACTATATGCATTTATTTTGTAGGTCTTGATGATTCTTCTTGAACATATGTATTTTTAAAATGCAGAATGAGCACTCAGACAAGAAATAGGAAAACTTTCATCCCGCCAGACAACTTTGAACCATCTGACCCCAGTTTTATTGAGATGGCGTTCCTTTAAACACCAGTTCAACAGATTATGTAAAAAATATAAAGCCTCAGCTGTGAGCAGGCCAGATGTTTCCAGCCATGTCTCAGTATTTTCCATCTCTGTTCTGTGAATACTGGGTGTGTATGAGCAGAAAGACAGAACAAAAAAATGCAGAAGTGTGTCAGGTGGCAAAGAGCTTCAGCGAGTGGATAACTGGGTGCATGCTTCAGATACTATTAAAAATTGCCATTTCAGGATGTTCAGTAAAGGGTGTAATAAAGAGTTATAGCAGCAAATAAAGTGAAATAAACCAACTGCAGACAACAAGCAGCTTCTTCTGAGGTCTACTTGAGCCAACAGATTCAGAGTAGCAAAGGTCATCGCCATATAATAAACTGCAGATAATAACAACATACCTCACACTACAACTGTAACACCTCTGTGTAAATCCTTTAAATACAAATACAGGGTCCAAAAACACTAAACTGCTAAGGTTAAAATATCTTTTTGTGAATTACTTGTGCTTCATAAAAATATAAACGATACACAAATCTGTCCGTGTGGTGGAGGTGAAGGAGTTCAGAGGAAGCGTTTTCCACTTACCACTTCCATCTTCTCCTCCTTTTCTTTCTTTTCCTTCTCCTTCTTCTTGGCCTTGGCAGTGATGGAGAGAACGGCAGTAGATACCTGCCATGCAGACAGATGGAGAGAGAGAAAGAGACGAGTCGTTTCCATAATGTAAGACAACACCAGAGACAATTACTGTTTTACAAACATGGCTTTAAATGTACAAAAAGCCAGTGAGCCACAAGATAAACATCTGCTGTTACATTCTCTACAATTAGATCAAACTTTGAAACGGAGAAAAACAGGGCAGAGATGCTAAAATAATAAACATGCAGGGCAGAAAGATGAAGAGTCTAACAAGCTGTGTTTAAAATCGTTCACTAATCAATATGAGGCAAGATCAGCTGTCCTGGGTTAATAATATTAGAAGAAGAGAAGCAAAACAAGCGGATGTGTTGTGGCGCCTCGGTTCTCACCTTCTCCTTCTCCTTCTCTTTGGGAACCTCCAGCGCTGGTGGGTAGGCGAAGGTGGAGGGCTTACAGTTGGAGCGGTACAGCACCTTGGGCATCTGAAGAGAAAGACAAGAAGAAAAACATCTTTTATAGAAGTGTTTTGTAGGTTTATGTGAGTCAAACCAACTTATGTTGTTTTTGTGGTGGTTTTTAGACACATCAAAGGCACGTTTTAGGAAATATCAAATTTCCTGAGCTCTACAATATTTTTACTTTTGTGAGAAGTGGCTTATTTCCGCATCTGTTGGATTTTCAATAAATTTGATGAATACAGCTGAGTCCCTACTGTCTAAAGACTAAAAAGATGTTTTAAAATACAGTAGTCCATCACTTCTTGTGGGGGTTACATTCCAGACACCCCATCGATAGGTGAAAATCCGCAAAGTAGGGATATTATATTTATTTTAGTATTTATATACATATTTAAGGCTTTATAAACCCTTCCCACACTTTGCAATGTTCTTAACAATGTTCTAAACTCTAAATGCTCTAAAAAAGCACATCGAAAGAGAGCAGACAGGCTGATGCTGCGGTTACTGAGCCAATCCGAGCCGGACTGGCCATCGGGAGAACCGGGACATTTCCCGGTGGCCTGGCCTGCTCAGTGATCGCCAGGGGCTGGATGAAAGGCTCAGTTTGGGTCGTGCTTGATTATTTTAAATAAACAATCCATGCCGGTCACTCAGGTGTCTCACTGAAGCTCCTGCAGTAGCAATGGGGAAAGACAGCCCCCCCCGCTTGCTTTTCTCTTTCTGAGACTGTCTGTCACAGTAGAGCGTCTCTGCTCCTCTGTGACAGACAGCCTCAGAAAGAGAAGGGGCGGGAGGGGGGGTCAGTCCTTCCCCCACTGCTACTGCTCAGAGAGTGGGCCAGGCCACCGGGAAATGTCCTGGTGCTCCTGATCCGCACTTCAGCACAATGCTCTGGTTGGTCACCTTCCATCAATCAGCCAATCGTGTGTTGTGTACAATCTTACATTGAAAACCTGTGAAAGAGTGAATCCGCGAAAGTCGAACCACGAAGTATCAAGGGACTACTGTATTTACATTTCCATCAAAATAGTGTTTACAGACTAATCAAACAGAGCTTCTAATGGTAAAGGTGTTTTATTTATTTAAATGTAAAAATTATATTTCTTTGTTTCATTTAAAACCAACTTTTGGTGCTTTTGCTGTTCTAATGTTTTATTCAGTTTTGTTGCGTTATCCCTCCTGTTGCCTCTTTCACTGATCTGTAAAGTCTCATCACACTTGGATGCTCAGTTCAGCTTGGAAACAAGACGACAGGAGAGCTTTGGGTCAAATGTAGAAAAACAAAATTTGAAGTGTCAACAAGATTCATACCTTTAATTTGTGCATACATTTTCAGAAGTTAGAATCTGTGGTAAACTGTGAGGTTAACACAAATAAGTTTAGACAAAAGTTTTTTTATTGCTTCAAACACGCAACAAAAAACAGCAGCACATTTTCTAGGAGGAATAGTTCTCGAGTCTGTGTGTTTACTTCACTTTTATTTTTATTTTTTAACTACCTTACAATTGACTGGCTGACCAGTTGTGCATTTTCACCCCTCCCATACATCACAGCACAACTAAGCTTCTGTAAAAATTGAAGAACTGTTTTGTCAACGCTGCCAAGACAAACATTAAAGAAGATGTGCAGTCACTGCAGAATCAGGTGTCTCCTGTTTAGTGTAAGCCTTCATATTACAACAGTTCGCTGAAACTAGATGATTTAACAGCCTCCAGCAGAGCACCGCTGCAGTATGACCAGGAGCGCGTACTTTCCAATAACTCACGGTTCTGTTGTTTCAATTCTGATGGAACAGTTTTTATGGCAAAGTCCAAGAGTTAAACTATAACACCTCTTTAGATTTTAAAAAAAGGAGTCCAATTTTGAGATGCCAAGTCAAGTGCAGCCCTTGCCGCGCAGCTCAATAAATAAACCTCGCCACGATGCAGTGAGCCTGGAGTTTTTTTTACAGGGTGTGTATCTTTGTTAATCTGAGCACACACAGTTCATAAAAGTGCGTCAGTGGCCTTGGTGTCATGTGCTCCTGATTCAGGTAGCAAAGAAGAGATAAAGCCCATCTAATGCCAGTTTAGGACTGCAATGTGTTACACTGATCCCTTGGCACCACTGTGCAAGTGGCAGGAGGCCAAACTTGGCCAGGCAGGGAGAGTTTTGTTATAGAGACAGGCTGCTGCAGAAACATCCTCTGCACCAAATGCAACATTGAAGACAAAATCTGCTGCCACATTTATCAGCCAAACTGAATACAGACAACAAATAATCAAAGATAAATCTATTTGTATCAATGAATGATGGTTCATTGCAAAAAATCCCCCAGAGGCACTAATGACAGAAAAAGAGACTTCAGTACCTTGAGGTCTTTGTTAAGGCCGATTATAGCCGTTGGTGTGAAGGCAAGTGACAGGAAGTGTGAGAGGGGGAACCAGAACCAGAACTGGGTGAAGACCAGCAGCCCGACCACTGAGGGCATGTGAGTGTGACCCGTCCTGGATTGTAGAGAGATGGTCATGTTGCGTCCACCTGGATGAGGGAAGGCAGAAAGGTTTCGTGTCAGTATGACACAAACACAACTCAAACTGTTTGCTTTATTATTTACCAAAAAAAACAAACGAGAAGTTTCTCATTTAACATATAAATAAAGTCAACACTGAAAGTAGTGAGAGAGATTGCACACTTGGCAAACCTTATATACATTAATTTCTAATGTACAGAATTTCAAAACATGAATAAATACTAAAATCAAATGTAGAGTAAGCGGTTAAAAAGGACACTTTTATTTTAAAAAGAACATTAATGACTAAAGCACATTTGTGAAACAACCTCTGGAAAATGATCAGAGAGGGAGTGGGACCATAATGCGGGAACTCACCAGGATGTTCACCACCCAAAGGTGGATGTGTGCTGGCTTCAACCAGTTTGTTCTTTTATTTTTAGGGTCATGATTTACAGAGATGTGCCGACAGTCAGCTACACCCAGGAATGCATTGTATACAGTGTCTTTAGTTCAATTTACAAATTAGGACACATTCATCAGAATTACATCTCAGCAACACAGAAACTTCATAACTCACCTCGAACATGAGGTGCGGTCAGCTGCTTTTTTGATTGCAGTGTGATAACATTTTACATTCCATTTTAACGTTTACTGACCTTTTAAAGCTTAACATTAATGTTTTTTGTTTTATCTAAATCTTAGTATCAAAAAAGAAACTGCAATTTTTTTAAATTAGATTTATTATTAACATTTTCTTCACTTTGACGCATCTAAATTTATAAAACTGAAGATTTAAGTAAAACCTGGATTTTAACTTATAATTATTTTGGAGACTGTAATTGTTGTACATGAATATTATGTTTTCTGTGTTTTTTTCCCCCCAAATCTTGTGTATATAAACTCAGTGCATAATTTTGTCAATCATAAAAACTCAGTTCGCATTTAATTTATCATATTTCTGTACGATCAAACATTGTAAAACAGAAAATGAGACATTTTCCTACTAAATAAAAACATGGGCGGTTATTTTTGTCAGAGTGCCCTCCACTAAAAGATAAGACAATGATGTATCAAAAGGTTAATGACATGTCAAAGCTGCACCAGTATGAAAAAAAGAGCATCAGCATGTCTTTGTCCAGGACAAACAGAGAAGGGAGTGGAAGGAAGAGAAGAAAGGAGGTAATCAGGATGAACATGTCATCTCTACAAATCAAATGTCACAAGGGACGCAACGCAGCTCGTCCAACTAAAAATGAACTCTGTCTAAACAATACCCATTAAATCATCTGCTGCCGTCTTGCATTGGACCCTCTTTGATCTGAGGTCGCTGTGATGACTAAAACACAAGAGCCTTATCTTGACATTTGAACTGGTGTTGAAATCCTTCCAGCCAAACAGATTGAACGGTGGCCAGAATGACTAACGAGGTCTGTTCACTGCACCAAAACCGGCTGCTTGAAAGTCTCTTAAACTACTTAAAGGTCTGAGTGCACTTGATGAGCACCCCCCTCAGAAACACCCACCCACTGTTTTTGCCAGCTCTCAGTTTGGTGGGCCAACTTTCATTTCAAGAAGTTGTTGAAGGAAGGCGCTGAGATTGCAGCGGTCCTTCGGGGGTGTAGTGTGGCCATGTCAACAATCAGTTTGTGTTTGGAAAGGAAAATAACTCAAAACCCAAAACATACAAATGACAGTGACTTTTTCTACACAAACGTGAGAAAAACAGATAATTAATTGTATCCCTAAGCGAGGAGAGCGTCTGAAGCTTAACGTGTTGCGGCGAGAAAGAAAAGACGTTGATACAGGGAGCGAAACAGAACGAGCTAAAGGCTGACGTTTCCTGCTAATGAGCACCAGTGATCATGAAACTGGGCTCTAATCGTTTCCGCCAGTCAAATTAAATACAATTAGCCTGCACCTCAAACTCAACTAACGACCTGCAAGAACCAGAATACTTAAATATTTATACGACATGAGCTTGAGCATGTCTGACATCCCAACAGGACTAGTGTGTCTGAAAGTGTTTGAATCATTTGCAGTTCAGTTCACGGTGGTGAAAACATGAGGAACACAGAGAGCTGGAGTTTGACTCGAAGACAAGAAGAACAGTAATCAAGGTTCAGGTCCAAGTTTACTGCACTGATTTCACAGATTATAGAAGTCCTGTCATCAGAATGCTTCATCTGTGAGACAAAAGAACCATAAAACTGAGAAGCTACAAGGGCTACAGGACTCTAGAGGGGATGTTGCAACCATTAAAAAAACAAAGATTCAAAAAATGAAAGTTCTTCAGAGTTGTTTGTGTGCAGCTTTTTTTTCTTTCCGAAAGTCTGAGAATTTTCAATGATTTGTATATATGTATATCAAACTTTGGCAGAACGACGGCTCAGTGGGTACAACTGTTGCCTCACAGTAAGAAGGTCCTGGGTTCAATCCCCGGTTGGACTTGAGGTCTTTCTGTGTGGAGTTTGCATGTTCTTCTCGTGCTTGCATGGTTTTCTCCAGGTACTCTGGTTTCCTCCCACAGATCAAAAACATGCATGTTAGGCTGCCTTCAGGTCCAGGCCTCCCATGCAAAAGAGATCTGTGATCTCCATGGGATTTGCCTGGTTAAATAAAGGTTAATAAATAAATAATAAATAATATCTGTAGGATGATATCTGAAGAAAACCTTCCATGCCATAATTTTTTTTTTTGGTTTGCACAAATTGCACAAACGCTACTTCAAAGCAATCAGCTATTCTCTGACAACGATTTCCGTTTTCGTTAACTTTTAAAAATGATCGAAATTCAAACAATGGCTGGAGCACAAAACAGGAAGTCCTGTTTTTGATGTCCAGAGTTTGGAAGACTGACGCCTTAATCAAACAGAAGTCCAGACTTATGGGACATTCCCTTTAAATTCATTGTCAAGTCAAAAGCCAAAACCTATCTAGATTTGCTTCTGATCCAAGAACTTAAGATTTGTTTCCAGGTTAACAGTTAAATATGTTATTGTCCAGATCTGGAGGTTGAATTTGTGTTCTGCAGAAGCCCGTTAATTGATTTCAAATCAGCTGCGTTAAACCCAAACCTTTTGGGTTCAGGGACCTACTCATAACACTCATGCTTATTAAATAATTTTCTTCAATTTGTCTCTTTAATGCAATGGAAATATTTGTGTAACATAAATACTTACGACCTGTTCTTTAATAGTGTTAATACAATTTTTTATACTTTTAAACAGGGGGTATTTTTCATTCAAGCACACTTGATTAACATACCTTTTAATTTCAACTTCCAAAAATTACAGTTTTGAGAAAATTAACAATCAAAAAACACGTCAAAGCTTTACCTATTCACATCCCAAACATAAATACTGCCACTTCAAACTATTACAGAAAACTCTTTACATGAACCTGAACAGAATCATAACAGCTGTACTCATACCAAGTGACAGGGCTTCATTTGTAAACCGACTGATGATAGAACACAAATAGCGGGCGGGTATAGGGGGTCTGGGCGTCCTCCCCAAGAAGATTTTGAATAAAGTAGATGCAATTTCCTGCATTTGGGTGTAATTTAACAGGTTGTTAAACATTTACGTGCTTGTAAAAAAATTTATTTTGTTGTTGTTTTGGACACCCAAGCACCGGCTCGCAGACCCACAGGGGTCCAGGGACCCCAGTTTGAGAACGACTGCGTTAGAGCAGGAACAAGTAAAACATGCATGATCATGACCATCTAAGACCAGGACTGGTCAGCCCTGGTCTAGATAATTTATTATATTCAGTTTCTTCTAGACAACACAGGCAAAACTGTGAGAATTATTGTCTTTCAACTTCAGAGTTTTAACATAATTTAGCCAGATTTGCCGTTTCAGGAAATTGAAAATAGACATTACTACACTTGTCTGAATTAGAGAGAACCTGACAGACAGACCACAGTTTGAAACCAAGAGTTGGTTTATTGCACAATTTGAAGCACTATAGGAGAGTGTGCTCCTAGATTTTATTCACATCGTTCACCTCAGACTTAAAAGTTCAGACCAGAGTCCTGCCATCTGCAGGACTACTTAGATGATTGTACAGTTGTGGGTCAGTGGTGAACAGGAATCTGAGCGAGGAGAAATGGAGTTGAAGTGCTACAACGTTTCAGCTTTAATTTGTGCAAGATGAGTTTCTTTCATGAGTAGATGGGGGGGAAAATAAAATAAAGTACAAAAGAGTTTACTTCCTCCAGTAGTGGAAGTAATAAAGTTCGTCTTATTTAAAAGAACTTCAGTCAGCACCACCTGCTTGTGTATTTGTATTAACACTGCTAGTTTATTTGAGTCGTAGCACACGGGTTTAGTGTTAGAAAACAGGTTCCTGCTCCTGCCTACAGTAAGGGTTTGTGCATACATGTGAACGTACTCTGATATACCGTGTGTGAGAATGTGCAGCTCTCTACGAGATGCCGAACGGCTCTCTGGGACCTCACACAAACACACACTTGCACAGACTGCTTACTTGTGTCCACAAACACAGAGTCGATCAGACAAACAGTAATCACCAAGTGGAGGCCAACTGGCCATATGGTGGAGAGCAGCTGAGGTAGGACCGCCAGGCACTAATGTACCTTAGCAAGATCTCTTCCAGAGACAGAATGCAGGGGTGGTCAGCCTAAGAGTTGCTTTGTGTTTGTACGAGTGTAAATAAACTCATATTTAGTCACACACATACACACAAAAACCACAAACCCACAAAACATTTGGGGCAGTTTGCTCGTTACGCCATGTAATTAAGTAACCCAGATCTTTTTTGTTCCCCCTGAGGGGTGAGGCCATATGGGGCATGCACAACCACACACCCAGTTTAATCTCTCCCTCAGTGACAGACAGGGGTAAACCCGCAGCAGCTCTGTTTGAACACTGACCTGCATCGAGGATTCCCTGGGCCAGGATGGCGCCGAACTTGGCCATAACATCGTCGTGCTTGTCGTTGATCACTTTTGCGTACAGCTGTCTGAACTGGTTCACCTAAAGACAATGGGAATATTTAAAATACATCATCAAGGAGAAAAATTTTCATCTGAAGAAATATCTTTCCTAAATATTTTCATCAATGACCTCTTTACAAACGCCTGTAAACTGAACAGGTCAAGATGCAAATGTTGCTATCACAGACTGAAACAAACTTTTTTAGTAGCATAAAACCAACAGAATGTTTATTCCACAGCCACATCAACACTGCCACAGACATGGCTGTGATGTAACACCTAGCACTGCTTGGTCCAATAAAACTAAACAAATACTGTGCTAGAACTGATTTAACCAACTGGACAAGTTTATCACATCAAACTATAAACCCGACGCTGAAGTCTACAAAGGCTGGAGGAAAAAAGTAATGGATGCAATACAATGTGTAATCCTGCATACCGACCAGCTTTAGAAACTGCTGGTGAGCAGATGAGGAGTTTTTGAAAATGTGTCTCGGCTTTTCTAATCATTGATTTCAAAGCGCAAGGTGCTTTAAGGGTGAGCGCATGCAGTTGTGTTGGGACTCGTCACTCTGCAAGTCTGCCATGACCCAAACAACACGTTTTCTGCCTACACAAGGATGAAGCTTTCTGCCTTTAGTAAAGTCTTCCTCTTTTCTTTCTTTTTGTAGTTTACTCAATAAAAGACCCTGGTCTTAGTGGCATTAGGGATTATTTAAAAAAAACACTGAAGCATACTGTCATTTTTCAGAAGAAAAAAAAAAACACAAACAGAAAACGGGACAGCAATGTTTTGTACTTTTGTTGTTTTTCAGACTGGCTCACATTCTGCGGTTTTATAGAAATACTTAAAACGTCTGGATAATCTATGTGAACCAGGCTACAGACAATAAAGCCAGTTTGCTTTAGACTTACCTTAGGACAGGTAACTTCAGTCTGCTGGATCATAATGAGGGCTGAAGAAATAAGGGCGCCTTGTCTCACGTAATTCACCGGGTCATTGGTCATGGGCTCCAGCAGATTGATTGCCTCCTACAAAAGGAGAATACACAAGTTTTATAACATTTCCTAGAACACTTCCAAAACCATATGGGGAGTGTACATCTACATTCACATGTTCTAATTATAACCAAGAAGCTGACTGCATGAAAATATGTTGTCACGATTAACAAAACTGCCCTTCGATGTAAAATTAAACTGAATTTCATTATTGTGAAAAACAAACTTCAAGGATTAGTTGAATTAGACGTGCATAGTAACAAAATACAAAACCTATACAAAACACTTTTAATCACAAATACGCTGTCAGTTCTTTAACACACTGTTGAAATGGAAGAACAGTGCAGATGGGTTTTTCTGTCAGACTTGTAGTGAAAGCTATATTTTCCTAAACAGTAACCAAACTATTTTTTACTGTAAATATTTTACATTTTTCTCCTCTAGAACAAACGATTGCTGCAACTGTGGCACTTCTGTTTGGTTTTATACAGGAAAAGTGATTATCAACAGAGGCAAACAGACCACGCAAATTAATGACATTAGTGTCAGCCATATCTGGTCGCTGTGGACAACAGAGTTAACCATTACTCATTTCCCATGAGCATTGTTAGGGGAGTGAAAGAGAAAGAATCATCTATTTCTTTTTATTTTTGTGCTCCCCATTTCTGCAGAAAGTCCATCACTGTAACTTTTATTTTGCCTGAATAGTTTATGGCAGTAACTGACACCAGCAGGCTCAGATAGTGGCGTCAGCCTTGCTGAGCAAAGAAAATAAACTACAGTGATGAAAGTGGAGGTAAAACGAACAGTTTCGTCAGTATTCACAGCTCAGCTGGCTCAGACAGCCAAGCTCTGGGATAATAAAGTGTAAAGTCATCACAGATCTACATCCTGTCCCTGCAGATTAAATAGGAGAGGGATAATTGGAGGTATTTATTGTCCGACTAGAGATTTGCATTATTATTACAATGTTGTGCTTATAAGCAAGTTTCAGTCTCAGTATGCGCTGATCTGTAAATTTTATTCAATTCAAAACTTGGAAAACACTGGCGTGAGGCTTATGTAAATAAATGAAATACAGCATAACTCAGTTAATTAAAAAAATAAAATAAAATAAAAATTTAAGCACACCTCTAAAAACAGCATCATATGACGGTGAAAAGAAACAATGAAAAGTTACATCTGAGTCAGTTTGGTCTTCAGTGTGAAATAGCCACACTGATTTACTGGTGAACAACATTTCCTTTTTATTTTTCTCAAAATGTTATTAAATCAATTTGAAATAAAATAATCTATTTTTACAGTGTCAGAAAAAAAGCTTTTGTTTTGGCTACACTTTCTTTTAAACGTACAAGAGAAAAAGATCACCAGTCCAGTAAATGTAGTAAAAACCGAAGGTGTTGTAAAGAAATGTGCTCCTTTTAAAACGGCGAGCCAGTTTTTTTTTTTTTTTTCACATCATTACTCTCACTATTTTCAGATGTACTAGAGGTATTACTCTGGAAAGACAAGAAGAAAAGAAAAAAACAGGGAAATAAAATAAATAAACTAATCAGTGCAGCATTGGAGCAGTTCTGGTGTAAATTATTCAGTTTGGTGCTCATGACCCTAAGGTGCAATGAGCCCCAGTCACGTTGTGGCTGTACCACTTCAAACTGCTCAGCGTACAAAACTGGACAACTCTGGTGCTGGCACAACCTCCGACATCTGCCTTCTAACTCTCCTGTATGGACTTCATGACACTCAAATACAAGGACAAAGTGAAGCTTAATGACCGAGTGCCAACTTAGATCACTGTATCAACTAATCTGCAATGAACTTTTCACATGCGAGTTCCTTCAGTGATGACTATTAATACCAATTACAGTAAATCCTAATGGATTACAAGTAAAATAGTCTATTCAGTAATCTTGTTTTGTGATCTGGAGACAATTATTTCCTATGAGTATTGTGAAAAGTGTGAAAGAGAAAGATGTTCTGGAGTAAAATAATGTATTTATTATAAATCTAATGAATGCAGTAATCAAGGCGTATACAATATAAGAGCACACAACACCTTATGCAAGATTATTCAAGTCCATCCCCTTCCATCCCATAACTTACACAAATGAGCCATTAAATATCTGCTTAAAGGAGCCTTTAGTTCATTTAGCTTAGGTTATCTTATCATCAGTGACGCACATGTTGTTCCAAGAGGAAAAGGAAGCACACAGGCTGAATGAGGACAGCAAAGCCCATGTTGAATTTGTTGTTAAAGGGTGTTAAAAAGAAAGCTTTTGCAGAACTGACTCCAGGCCAAGCTAGAATTATGTTTCCTATATTTTAATTGTGCTGAGTTTTATTTACAGTAGCTCACCAGAAAAGGTAAAAGATGAAGAAGACTGTTTTGATTTGAAGAAATTAAACCTTTAGAAAGGATCCAGGATGCTCTCACCTTGTTGCCTGTCCCAGCACAGCAGATGCCCAGAGCCATGGCAGCCCCACAGCGCACATGAGGGTTGTAGCTCTCCGACAGAAGCGACACAACACTGGGACACTGCTCTGGAGTCCTGCCGACACCAGGGAAACAAATGTATAAATATTCAAGAGGACACATTACTGACAGCACCAGAGTAAACTTGGTCAAAACTAGAGGTGATAAGTCAAAATGTTTTCAAGTCAAAAGCAGTTATCATCTTAAGGGGTCAAATAAAAGAGGAATCCAAATAAAACTGAAAAACAAAATACTTATTTAATAACTTCAACCTAGAAAAAAAAATGCATGTTGGAGGTTAATGTAATTTGTGAACAAATGTGCTACTTGACATATTTAACTAGTAAAAGGCAATGCTGACAGCACCAGAACTGCCAGAATCTGAAAATGAGCCCATTACAAAAATAATCTAAAGATTTTGGACCAAACTAAAAGGTTTGGGTTGCTTGACAAAAAAAACAAACAAAAAAAAAAAAAAAAACGAAATAACTGTGAATCAGTAAGTTGGGTATCAGCAACTAAAATAAAAAAACAAGTCTTAACATTTTGAGCATTGCAAGCCCTAACTAAATATATTTCATACTCGGAATAAGTGTGTTTGGTTAATTCTGTCCCACAAAATTGACAATTTTCTGGTTTAATTTCTGTGTACACAAAAGCAGTATAACACATACATAATTCTTACACAGATGGATTCATAGGAATCTAAAATATAAATAAAAGTTGACACCTAATTGTCAGCTCATGATTAAAATATTATATATAACAAATAAAATAGTTTGTAATTTTTTTTTAGCCTTGTGTATCAATTCAGGGGTGTGTTCAGGCTCATCTGGATGTGGAAGCAAGATCACACTTAAAATCAATGAGCGATCAAGGAGGTGTTTAATTTCCCCCATCATGAAGTTGACACTAGCAGATCCTTGTCAATTCACACTTGGAAAATGACCTATGTGTAAAGTCGTTGCACATAATTTTTGATTTGTTAGTGAGTCAAGGTTGTGGCTTTTACCATCAAAATATAAAAGGTACTATTTGTTAATTTAAACAAAGTTTCAACCAAGCAAAATGGTTTAGAAAAGTCAGCTTCATAACAAAAATACAAGCTTCCAAAATATATTAAGTTTTAAATATTTTCAAAACCAACTAATAAAAGTACTTGTTATGTAGTGATTATTAGCTTTTGGTCAAAGTTAAAACTTGTGAAGCAAATATGCATGTTTTCATCTCAACTTAAACATTGTGTTGATGGTCTAAATCTCATAATTCTGTGAAACTGGAAATAAGAAAACATCCTTTTAGCAAAGATTAGTTTTATTTTTTATGTTCGGAGATTGATAAAGCTACTAATGACCTATTCTTGTTTCAAAGTGCCCCAAGACACATGAAAAGCAACACAACTTTTAAGAAAAAAGCCAGACTATAAAGTAGATACAGACAATGCAGAAGCATTTTGCCTCAAGAAATGTGATTAAGGCCGGTTAAATACACCCCAGCTGTAAGAAGAGTTTAAGAGATCATTTTACTTTAAGAGAGGCGATTACATTAGCTTACTTTGTGTCTTTTACAAGCATTCATCCAAATACATAATGAAAGCGCCTGGACAACGTTAATATTAGACAGCAAAGACGACAGGGATCTGGGCAATATTGGGTCACTAATTAACTGATTTTAAAATGCATTGAATCACAAAGGGAAAGTATCATACTCTGGGTTATCATAATTCTTCAAGTAATAAGTAAATATTACAAAAAACGTTTATTATGCCAATGAAATGTTAACTGTTTAGACATGTGTCCAAACTTCCACACAACTGCAAATATTAGGCACAAGAAATAATGGTGTTAACGAGCAAGGAAATACAGTGAGAACACATGGTCACAGATAAGTCTTAGGAGTGCAGAATACTTTGCAGAAAAGACTGAGAAAAATATTTTTCTGTAGCTAATACTATTGCATGTAATGTAAAAATACACACAGTCTTTCTTTCATATTTAATAATCTTACGTCAGACTAAAGATGCAAAAACAAAACAAAAAAGTCCAAAGTTGTTTTTTAAAAAGCAAACTTTGTGTGTGTGTGTGTGTGTGTGTGTGTGTGCATGTGCGTGTCTGACTCTTTAAGCCTGAAAAGGTGAACTTAATAGGGACAAAGAAACAAAGTCATGCAGTACACCCACCACACAAAAGGGTTCTCCCCAGAAAGCACCCGTCACTTGTTTCAAATGGGGGAGAGAACAGAGAGTGGCAAATATAAACAGTGAGACTGCTGTGTTGAGAGAAATTACCTCCCCAAACCACTGGCATGTGTCCAGCAAGAAAACGTTCATCTGTTTTGTATAGAGTCTGACTTGCAAGACAAAAGAGGAGGAGGAGCGGGGAGTGAGACAGAGAGAGAGACGGGAGAGGCGTGCGAGCCGCTTACAGGCTGTGAAAGAGCCGATCAGAGGGAGAGAGCGAGGCAGAGGGGCCACAATATCCGAAAGTTTTAAACCTATGATCGGTTTAGGTGATGCAAGGCAAGACGCGGAAGAAATATGTCCACGTCACGGACGGCTTCAGGCTGAGACAGAGTTAGGGGCATCTGTTACATTCTTATGTGAGAAACGTCACACTTTAAGGATTCTACCTACAAAAGGAAGAGCGCTGGGCGTTGAGCTGCATCGTTTCCCAACTAAGCCTTGAAGGACTAAAACCAGGCACTGAGCAGATAGAAAAGTATTTAAAAGCTAACACAGCTTTGAGAAAAAAGGTAAGAAAATAATATTAATCCTCCAATTTTCTAAATCCAATTGATGTTTCTGATTTACTCAGTTACATTCATTTATTTTATACTTCTATATAAAATACACAACTCTGCCTGTAATTTTGTTATGAACATTAACTGGAGTTAGAATATTTTCTTGTTGATTTGTTATTCTTGTTATTTATAGAGAAAAACTTTACACTTTAAACAAAATATGTGAGCTACGATTTTCTACATATTAGGGCAAAGAAAGACATAAAAATCCTCTTTGTAATGATGACCATCTTGCTATCAAGTAGATAAATTAAAGCACATAGGTATGAACAGAATCATTGTTTTCTAAACAAACTTTTTTCTTTTAAAGTGATGACATGAGAATGAGCTGCGTGGGAAAGTGAGGAACTCTGAACGTGTCTCTGTGGAATTAATACGTGTGGTGGGATTACTTTAGCGTTGGAGTTTATTACATTGGATATTTTTCAACAGTCAAGCAACAACTTTTTTACTGACCATCAACTATTAGTTTCAGTTTGCTGTGCAAGAAATGAGACGTCTCGTGCACCAGTCTTAAGTGGTCCCACCAAAACTTGCACCTTTGCTTGTGGGACCCAGTGACCATGCTGACCGAGAGACCAAAACCAGGAAGATCAGAGCCACCACCCACGCTCAGGCCCACTGGGATCTCAGCAGCAACACGACTCTGCCAACCATGGCACAATTCATGAACAACAGTTCACATTCAAGCGAAGCAACTGAAATTCATCTGAGATGGGCCGCCTTACTCATCGTCATGGTCATAATCCCAACTATTGGAGGAAACATACTGGTCATTCTGGCTGTGTCGCTTGAAAGAAAGTTGCAAAATGCCACCAACTACTTTCTGATGTCCCTTGCTGTGGCTGATCTGTTGGTGGGACTTCTTGTGATGCCCATTGCACTCATCACAGTTCTATACAGTAAGTTTACCAAGAAGGCCTGTTTCATATATTGATATAACGTACGTTGAAACAATTAATACTGTGGAGAGTCTTTTCTTTGTTCATCAGGTCTGTTTTATTGACATCATAGCCTTGATTAAATTCAACTATTTGAATTCTACGAGATTACTATGATTTACAAAATTTAGATTAAGACCTAAACATAATTATAAACATAAAAATGTTATTAAAATGATGACAAATAGAGGGAAATTACTGTCTACCAGTAATTTTAGTAAATACTTTGTTAAAAACTGAGTTCAAATTTACTAAATAAAATTTTAAAAAGTGATTCAAGTGTATCCAGAAAGCAGAATGATAATTTTAGAGTAAGACTTATAATTTTTTTTACCAGTCTTTTAAGACTGTTCTAGATGAACTGTAACTAGAGGTTGTAGACCATAAGGAATTTGCTTCTTCTGGCACTGCTATAGCAGCAGCTGTACAGCTTGGACTAAGCAAATAGGAGACTATAGCACATGAAAAGATAAGCAAACTTTTTGTTTAATTTAATTCCGCTCATTGTGCTAACTAAATACAGCTGCACAGGAACTGATTTACACTTCTATTCCCCATGTTCTATAAAATTCAGGGTGATAGTGAAGTCATTATTCTTCATTAATTCAATTGTAGGATAATGGGCCAGATAGTAATTATATCTCTCACACAGACACAGGAGTGAAGGATGCTGTTACACAAGACTGCCTTTGTAGTCCTGCCTCCTTCACTCCTCATGGTTTGCATGAGAACTGGATGTGTCTGCGTGGACATAAGTCCTGCTTTAATCTGTTTTGTCCATCTTAAATGCACAAAAGCTGTAGAAATAATCTACAATTGCATTAATTTTTTAGAGAGAAAAAAAAATCTATATTGCTCCCATTTGGACTGAGCTGCTGTTAAAATGGATAAAAGTTAAAAAAGGGTTAGCCATTTCAAAGTATTTCTTAATTGTTTTGTATTAGGTCAGTAAATTTACTTTTTACTTTGGCACCCTTAAACAAAACTTGTACCATTATCAATTAAAATCTCTATTTACTACATACTTATAAGTTAAGTTATGGTAAGTGTGTGAATAAGTAGTTTCTGGAAAAAAATAAAAAATAAATTACATTTGAGTTTAATACACTGGAGGAGTGCTGGATTCAGATACTTAAAATTTAAATCCTCACCCACACCGCCCATGACAAACAATTTTATTACCGTCATTGCTCTTGACATTAAAACAAATCCCTGTATTGGTATTCCAGTAGAAAAAGGAAATATTTTCATATGCCTAAAGTTTATCTACAGACGTAGACAGATCAAATCAACACCAAAGAGGACATACCATGAAGTATTGCAGTAAGGAGGAGGTCAAAAGACCAACACAGACATAGGATGAGTACAAGAGACTACTACGGTACTGAAAAGTATTAAAGAACTGAGTACCGTAATAACAACAATGTGAACCCTTACCAAATAAGTCCCAACACAAGAAAAAACTAAAACATTAGGAGAATGTAATTATAATATAATATTAGAGCCACTGGTCAAATTGTAAAAATAAACTCAGACAGATTTCTTGTGTAACTATATAATTTAATTCCAGACTTTCATTGTTTTAATTAAAATTGCAAAACATCAAATTTTCTATACTGTGGAGAAAAATTTATTTTCATTGCCCAGGTCTGTTTTCTTTACATAATTCTGATCCAAATTAACCACTTAAAAAGTAAAAAAAAAAAAAAAAAAAGAAGAAACCTTCTAGAGTGATCAGGTTATATACAGATAAGATATATTGTGATATATAGATAAATAGATATTCTTAAAAATAATCTTGTGATTGCAGGCAGATATGCTCATAGAATAAATTCACTGTAATAAACTTGAGCTACAGTAATTTGAAACGTAAACAAACTATCAACTTTTCTTACCCTAAACTTGCACTTCATCACTTACAAAAATCAAAAACGCTGAAAGCGCAAAGACTTTGTAATTCCTAAAGAACAACAAATGCAAGACAAATTACAACACCAAGCACTGACCACAGCCTTATGTAATTGGAAACTGTTGGAAAATCCAAGAGCTAGTAGTCTGTAAAACAGAGATATCATCAAGAGAAACAAAAAAAATAAAATAAAATAAACAGCTCTCTCGTTTCTTAAATTTTGATTATGCTTCTGTCAAATTAAAAAACCTGTCAAAATACGCAGCAGCTTTACAGTTAGAAAGTTCATTACAGAAACAAATCTGGGTTAAAGATTTTGGATGATTTATTCATTCAGTTTCTTATTTCGGTAAATAAAAGAAAAAGATAAACGTTTCTGCAGCCAGGTGGAGCTCACAAGCTACACCGCTCATTAAATTCTGCTGAAAATAAACATTTCACAGAACAGGTTCAGAAGGTTTACTTGTGCAGTATTTGTCAATGAAAACCTTCCAGATGAAACCAAACCAAAGTGTGACTCAAAAATTCCTGCAAGAGTGACAAGAAAATGGTGCAAGAAAATGAAAAGTGTGGGTAAAAACATGTTAAAAGAAATATTTCCACTAACAGTCTTTTACACTGTTAATGGACGTGCAGACAAAAGCCAGAACAGCGTTCTTGCCAGTTTTATGCCTGGAACTCAAAATAAACACTACTGTTGAGCACAGACTCAACCACAATCTACATAAAGAGCCTTGAGCTCCATAAACAGTCAGTGCACCCTTACATTTCCAGTAAAGACATTCCTTACTGATAAACGGGCCAATTTTTCGCATGAATGATACTCTTATCCCTTGTCATGGTAGTATCTCTCCCATATATGTGTTAAGACAAGGAAACAACCACATTAATTTAGAAACTGCTTTCAGACACACTACCACAGATAAAAATGTCAAACATTTACTTTCCTAATCAATTTTACATCTCATTTTCTTTTTAGACTCTAGATGGCCACTTCCGGATTTCCTTTGTCCCATTTGGCTCTTCCTTGATGTGCTTTTTTCTACCGCATCCATCATGCATCTGTGTGCCATCTCTTTGGATCGCTACATTGCTATCAAGAAGCCAATCCAACACAGCCAGTACAAATCCAGAGCCAAGGCGCTGGTCAAGATTGCACTGGTGTGGCTCATATCCATTTGTAAGCAACTTAACTCTCCCTAATACTAATTTATTTAACGTTCACCAGTTTAGTGTTGTAACAAGTACAGCATGGTTAACACAATTTGTTGTTTGCTGGTATTAATTGATTTTGTCTTTTTCATAGGTATTGCCATCCCAATTCCAATAAAGGGGCTTAAGAATCTTCACAATAGCATCACCTTTAACAGTAACTACACGTGCCTGCTGAAACCTGAAACCTTCTCCGAGTTTATCATATTTGGATCCTTGACAGCATTCTTTATCCCTTTGACCATCATGATGATCATCTACCTACTTACTGTGCAGGTGCTGCGCAAAAAAGTTTATCTTCTCAAGTCAAAGGTCTCTCAGCGCTTTAGCTCCTCAACCATCTCCACAGTTTCTCAAAGGGAACAAGCTTTGACTTCACCTCAAGTTGAGCAAATTAACAAGCTGGATGTCAGACTTCCCAGGATGCAAGAAAAACCAAACCTAGGCACAATGAATGCTCCAACTGGAGATGAACTATCCTTTCGGAGACTGTCAAGCATAGGCAAGAAGTCAATGCAGACTTTGAGCAATGAGCAGCGTGCTTCAAAGGTGCTGGGCATAGTCTTCCTCTTGTTTGTAGTCATGTGGTGCCCTTTTTTCATAACAAACATCACATCTGCACTGTGCTCAAGTTGTGATAGTGATTTAATCTCCCACCTAATGGAGATCTTTGTATGGGTTGGCTACGTGTCATCAGGTATTAACCCCTTGGTCTACACGCTCTTCAACAAAATCTTCAGGGAAGCGTTCACACGTTACATCACCTGCAACTACAGCAACTGTGCAAGCAGTAGGTCTTTGCAACATCTGGGTTCAACAAATACAGACTGGACTCTTACGAGGATTTCATTCAAATCTTCCATGGCAGAGAACTCTAAACTGTTCATGAAGAGGGGAATGAAGAATGGCATCGGAGCAATGAGCTACCAAAGTCCACTAAGGTGCCAACAAACACCTTTACAGTCATCTAGTGGCCTTGTGTTAAACACAATACTTCTGACTGAAAATGAAGATTTTAACCAAGAACATGTAAGCTATGTATAGAGATACCACCGAACCAGGTTTATATGAATAAAGAACTTAAAATTGTGTGGCACATATTCAATCTCAAAGACTAAGACCCCAATAAAGGTCCCCAATAAAGTAAGAGAAAATGCTAATAATACAAGAGTGTGACATATTCATGATCTGACATGTAAAATGCAAATGAAACAACAAAACCTACCATTTTGTTGTTTGGTGACGTTAATAACAATTTACAAAGTAAAATTGTTCATGTTAACCCATAGGACAACCTAAGTAATAAATTATTGTCCTGAATCATTTGAAGAAAAGTGTTGCTCACCATACCTTTAAAACAGGCAATAATAATGTTAATAATGATGATGTGGAATAACAGCATATACAAAGAGAGTTTAGGCTTTCAAATAATACCAAGTACTGATTGGGAGAAAAAACTGCAGCAGATCCACTTATGAAGTAACAGGAGAATGTGCTGAGTGTGTGACAAGGTATTCTACAAAACTCTGGCTGCCAGATATGACAACCTGGAAAATCTCTGAATGATGTATATAATATATTCCAGTGCTGATCGGTCCAACTTGGACTGTTTAAAAATGCTGTAAACCATCTCAGACCACATGCTTACATTTTAAGAAATACAGCTGTACCCTTGAAAATCTCTTCTGCAAAAGACAAATTTATTGCACTTTTGAAGCGATACTAATTTCATTTGCTGAACCTTTGATAAGCACTCTGTGTATTACACCCTGCTGTTCTGACATGTTAAAAAGGTTTCAGAATAAAAGACTGTACGTGCAGATTAATAAACTGATTAAACAAAAACAAATTTTCTTAATAAAATGGTTTTTTTTGTTTTGCCGATTAATTTTCCCGTCTCTTCCTTTATTTTTGTTGTCTACCATTATGCTTCCTTAATTTTGGAATTTTTGGTTAAGCACAATAGGGCAACAAAAATGCATTAAAATTATATTACAAATAAAATTTACAAAACATACAAACTTTTCAAACCCAGACAGACATATTTAACTGTATGGTTTTAAATGATAATAAAATTTGTACTGGCCGTTTTATTTTGCAGCAACTTATTTTTTGTGTTTTTAAATATAAGATCTTAGCATTTTGGGCACAGAAACAATGCAAATACATAGAAAAGTTTAAACTTTATTTTAATCAGTCTTTTTCTTCCTCCTCTTCTTTCGGCTTCTCCCTTCTTTAGGGGTCGCCACAGTGAACTAAGTCGCACAAAGACATGGAAATTATTTTTATGCTGGATGCCCCTCATGATGCAACCACAGATCACCGAGCTACCACAGCCCTCTGTGTGGAGCAGAGAGCTGCAATTTAGGGTGCAAGGTGGGGGTTAAAAGCCTTGCTCAGGGGCCCAGAGTGGGGCAAATGAGGGTGGTGGCAGGTGTGGGTGCTTCACCTATCCCACCCACATTTTGAAGTTGTCTGTACCAGGAGTTGAACCAGTGATCTTACAATCATGGGCCCATCTTCTCTAACCTCTGCACCACCACTCCCCATTTTAATCAGCCTTATTACCTAAAAATAAATCATTGGAGAAAAGAATGTCATATTTGGAAAGAGATCTTAAAGCTTGATAAGTTAAATCGTCTGATTGGTGTTATTTTAAATTATACAAACTGTGATTAAACAAGAGTTTTGTTGATTTACAATAAAAATAGAAGCATATAAGATTCAAGTTTTTTGTAGTTTTTCTTTCTCATGTGTTTGTGCACGTGAACATCTTTGAGTCATTAGGGTTGAAAGAGTGAGGCTAAAGTGTAATGCTGTGGTTCACAATTCTTTCCAAACAGAGAAGATTTATGTAGGGTTTTTCTAGCTGCAAAATGATCGCATAAACCATTGCAGGCTTTCCACTCAAGATTTTAAAGTCATTTAAACAATCCTAGAATCTTTGACGAGATAATTTTAATGAAAGAAAATCCCTTTGAATAGTTGGGATTTAAAAATAATGTGTAAATGAAAAGGACAAGCGTTTAGCTTTCTCCCACAGAGCATCGTTTTCCAAACAGAACAAGAAATTATAGTTAATTCTACAAAAAGCCACATTTTAGTTGCAACATCAAATCTGTACTAAAATTTAAAAAAATAAAGTAAAATACACATAGGTGCACACTTACATGTGCTCCTTCATTTTAAGATGTCAATCTACTTTGTGCACAGTGTTGAAATTTTATATAGAATTATGTTTTTCTAAAACTGATACAAACACAAGCATCGTTACAAACAACTGATCAACAAACTTCAGGGCGTTTGATTAAGTTACTGATATGTGAACATCATTACCGTATTTTCTAGACTATAAGCCGTTACTTTTTTCACACGTTTTGAACACTGCGACTTATACAATGCTGCAGCTAATTGATGGATTTTTTTTTTTAATTCTGACGGGCTAATGAGCTTCATGCTGCCAAAACATATAGCCTCATCATACCCGGTTGCTCACATAGCTGCCAAATACATGCCTCTCTTGGGGGTGGGTACTTGTGGCTCAATTAGACTACCTATAAGGTTTTTAAAAAATCTGACCAATGAAATTACTGAACAGGTCACAGTGGGGCCTGTTCTCCCGTTCGGCCCTCCCTGGGGGTCCCTGAAGTATTTGCAGCCACTCGAAATCCTAGCTTGGTGGGAGGCTTGGATGACTGGCAGTGAGAAATCTTTTACCAAAACTGGCCGCATGCCAAGTGCAACTTTCGCTTATGCTCAGGTGTGCTCATTAGTCCAGAAATTACAGTAACCATATTTTCCAGTTTGTCAGCAGTTATATCCATATGTATCAATGAAAAACATTTTCAAGCAGAGATTAGCTAGTATATTAGTGTGCGAGCGAGTTTCAAGAAAATAACAGAATTTGGTAAAACTTGAGGCTCAAACACAAGGGGCTCCATTTTTTAATGTAAAACTTAGGGTCTACACAGCAAAATGAATTAAATTGGAATCCTACCTGAACAAGATGAAACCAATAGACTCGACAGCAGCCCTTCTTACATCATCGTTGACATCACTCACCTTAAATAAGACAAGCAGAAAGCTTAGATAAACCAAATGACACTTCATCTTAAATCAATCTTAATTCTATGGCTCTCTCCAACAGTAAATGAGAAGTAAAGATAGTTCCACTATAACACGGTCATAAATTTAGATAGGGCACAATGACACCTGCAGGACAAATGAATACTTGCAACATGAAAACGATCAGTGCAGGTGCCGTCCTTGACTTAAATTAATAACTATATATATATAAAAATCTTGGGGCGGCGGTGCTTTTTCCATGTGAAAAATATTTCTTAATTATCGGTTTCCAACAGAAATGAACAATTTTAGATCCTTTAACTATACGGCATAAATTATAAAGTGAGCACTTCAACACTGGAGGTTGACATCTGTGTTACTGATGGTGTGATAAACCTAGACTTTTTCTAATAGAAGGGCCAAAAATGACTAAATAAAATTACTCACAGCAACGTGCAGCAGGCGGCGGATGGCCTTGTTGTTCCCAGAGCCACAGTAGGCCATTCCCACAGTGTACATACCAGATCGCCGCAAGATGGGGTCCTACCATTGACAATGAAAGAAAGCAGAGCTTTGAGGCTTTGTGTGTGTGGATGCAAAACTAACATCAACATGGGTCCAGTCATTTCCCCATTTAAAATAAAACCTGGCAAACGGCACAGACAAACAGCGTCACATGTGAGATGAGATAAACAACCTTCTACAGAGTTCAGAGAGTGCACGATACATGAAACAAGTATGTAGTGAACCTAAAAAAAAAGAACAATGGCCTTTTAAGATCTTCACAACTTCCTTCTCTCCCAGTAATGTTTCAAGTTTGTTTTGTGTGTTTTACGTTTAGGCAGCACTTATTGTTTTTAAGAACAAAGCAACTCTGTTCTTGTGATGAACTTTGCACTCAATGCTTCTCAGTCACACCTTGTCTCTGCAGAGGCTTTCAATGAGGGCGTCAGCCTCCTCCATGCGTCCATACATGACCATGGCGATTCCCACCGCAAGGCCACGCAAGATCTTCTCATGTTGTGTCTCCTGAGCATAGCCCACCATGTCCTCGATTGCCTGGGCTGACTTAGAACCCAGCATGACCAGACCAAGAGCCAAACCTGCAGCTTCACCTGAGAGGCGATAGTAAATCGTCAGCTCATTTAGTTTTTTTCTTCTACAAACAATGTGAAGCGACCATGTACATAAAAAACATACAAATACAAAAGATAAAAGGGTTCTCATTTTTGAAGTATTTTTGTTTTGTAGGCAGAACTGCAAGTACAAACTTGGGTAACAACTGTGGTGTTTAGAAAACTTTTCTGTTTAATCATGTTGCCAAAAACCTACCAGTGACAGCATCATCTTGGTAAAGGTTTGACTTGAGCAGGTCATAAACATCTTGTCTGGCTGTGCCCAGTGCAGCTAAACCCAGACCGAGAGCACCACCGTGACGAACAATCTGTGAAAAAAAATTAATTAAAGACATGCCATCAAAAACAATGTTTAAAAAGTTATTTGACACTTAAAAACAACTTACATCATTGCTGGCATTCTTGAGCTGGCCAAGCAGGTAATCGATAATGTCCCCACCATGATTGGCATGAATAAGTCCCAAAGCATACAGGCCTCCTCCCTCCTGGTAGGCAGAGCCAGGTGATGTGTCTTTGGGCAGGTAGGTGGCCATTAACTGGAGCGCCTCTTTCTCATGACCCTAAAATAAACACCAGATTGACATAAATAAATCACTTTTTTTAAATCCTAAAGTTTATTTTGTATTTCGTATTGTAATGGCATATTTACCCTATGGATGACACCCAGACTTGCTGTGGCAGTGAACTTTGCCCAGTTGGTGGCTCTTGCGAGCCATTCTAAATTTTCTCTGCAAGAACAAATAAATTTTAGGTTTAAGACCCGTTGAAAATGTAGGCGTATTATAAAAAAAAAAAATTTGTCTACACCGTTACCTGAGGAACTGGTCACTTGTGGTTCCTGTGTGCATAAAAGAGTTTGCTATAACCGTGGCTGTATGACACACCGAGTTTCGAACTGCATCCTGTAGTAACAAGGGAAGGGGAGGAAGATCACAAAATGAGTTAACTTGAAACAATTCGATTATGTGAACAAATGTTTCTGTTCTCAAAGTTATCCATCTAACTCATGGCTTATATTTCACCTTTGTGTTTTTAAGAATCATGAGATCCGTGTTGTTATTTCGAATTAGAAACTGCAGGTGCAGCTCTATGGCCATCTCCCCACTGAGAATTTTAATCATCTTGGCGTTCTGGTCTTTGGGCTCGTCTTTCTACAAAAAGTCATAGAAACCGAGACAAGGACAAGATAATTGCAGGTTGCTTTAGACGGGTTGTAAAAAAAAAATACATGTAAATCAAAACAATCCAAAACACTTACTGCTTCTGCTGACTTTCCAGCCGGTGAGCTGCCAGCCTTTTCATCCGTCTCCATTGCATCACTGTAACATCCCCCAAAAGAGCTTTAGTTAAGTTATAATAGTATCAGGTTTACAATTGATTGGTCAAATTAGTTTGAAAATGAGAATTAAATGAGAATCAGTTTAAGCCATTTTATAAAGAGTTAAAGTTTGATTTCACAGTGATTTTACAATAGATGTCTACTAAAGAATACAGCTCTTAAGGTTAAATAATGTCATTATTATCTCACCTTGTCATTTTTTTTTTCTGGACAGTTTAATGTCCTGTATAATGAAGGCATAATTTACCTGCAGTGTTTTGAATTTGACTATTAATAACTCAGTTTCATAAAAATGCTACAACAGGAAATTGCCTAAAATAAATTAGCCTAATTAAGAAAAAAATATAGTAAAAGCTACACAACACCTTTGTGAACATGACAGCAGGTGTGTCTTTATTTTTAACCGGTTCCCACCTGTCTTTGTCTGATGTAGGAACAGTGCCTGTATTTGTGGAACCTGGCACGGCAGGGATGGGTGTTCCAACAGTGTGCAAGTTCTGGATGACTGAGGACAGGAATTGCTGGCTGGCACTTTCATAGAGGTCAAAGCAGATCTGGTAGGCCATTAGCAGGTTGTCCTCCTTTACCAGCTTCTCCAAGATGTCACTCACAGCCTGTGGGTCGTCTAGGAATATCAGACACTACAATGGGGAAAAACAAAACAAAACAAAAAAATTATTAGAGAAGGATTTTGGGCTCTGACAATTCTAGTCAAATTTTGTGAAACTGGAGCAAAACAATTAATCATTATTGTTACTATATAACATACTTGAACTTGTGATAATCTAAAGTAGCATGACTGAGTTTTTCCAACAAACAAATAAATTACATCTTTGGATATTTTTCTTCTGATAAATAAAGAATAAAAAAAGTCTGTCTCATGTATTAAATTGTTTTTTTTTTTTTAAATAACTTTATAATGTAGGTAAGAAAAACAACGTTTTACATAATCTTTTACAAAAATGTAACTTGAGCTAATGAGACAATTATAAATAGGCTGATGTATAAAAATAGCGTTACAATCCGTAGTTACCTGGCAAACATTGATGAAATCAGGCTTCTCTAAGTTCATATAGAGTTTGACAAGCACTCGTAGCACGTCGTTACGAAACTTTTTGTTCTGCATGAGGGACATGCAGACCTTCAGGCTGTAGGCAAGGAGGCCACTCACATCATTCTGAAATGGGAAAAAGAAAAATCTGTTATACGAACGGTTTGTAATGGCTCTCTCAGTTGAAATTAGGCAAATTTTCACAACATTTATTTAAGAGTTTTATCATTAAAGGCATGCAAGAAGCTTGCACTGGCTCCAGGCCTTATGAATGTGGCATTAAAAACCCATCATTTTATTTTAAACGATTAGTAATCTTTAGGCAGACAAAGCAGTGAATGACTGAAGATACTGACTGATTCAAGGACGGTCTTCTCAAACATGTCGAGACGCCTGGTCTCCAAGGCAATGCCAATGGCCTGCTTGTACTTGTGGTCATCTAGGCAACGCAGGAACATCTTGTTGACGATGCCCTCCAGACGAGGGTCAATGTTCTTTTTCTCCTCATCTTCTGACAGCTCAGCATTTTCTACACGCAGCTTGGTGTAGTGGTCAATGCATTTGGCTGTATTGGACAAAAAAAGAGAGTAAGTCATGAAACTACAGTATTGGCTATCCCAGCCCATCAGAAAGTCACTGTGATTAAACTTTAATGTGTAAAATTAAATAATTGAAAAAAACTAATCCCATTTCATCACTCACCAATGATGGTCTCCACATATTCTGAGTCATCGGTGACACTAAAAAGATCTCCAGCACCAAGAGCATAATTTAAAGATTCTTCAAATGCTCCAAGGTGGTAGAACACCTTAGAGGCCACCAGGGCTGCAAATTCTCTGCTTCGAAAAGATTCATCCTCATACAGGACTTCACTGTGAAATCAAGAAGAGCTAGTTCATATAACTGAAAAAACAGCAATGAGAAGAGCCATTTGTGTTTTTTTGTATGATTAAATCCATGTTTTCTTTATCTTATTTTTCTAAGCATATTTTGAGACAAGGTCAAATGTAATCTAAAGTTCTATTTAATTGTGTATAATGTTTTTGAGAACAGCGCACTGAATTTGTGATTGTAAAGCAACATCTCATACTGCTGTTATTTACATATTTTCACTTACCGGTACATCTAATGTGTCTGTACTGTCCTGAATTCAGACTGTATTTAAACTAACCATTTGCTTCACAACAGACAAAAAACTATCAACCTTGGTTGTTGTTGCTTTGTTACATTGCTATATATATATATATATATATATAAAATATATAATCTCCAAACTTATCAGTAATACTTACATTTTATCTACAGATCCTGAAATCTCAGCCCAGAAGTCATTCACAATGGCGTCAAGTTTGTGTAGAGCAAACTCCTAAAAGTAAAACAAATATATTGCTTAAGTGTTTATTCACACACTTAAAACTGTCTTTGGTGCAACTTCTCTTACACTTAACTCATCAAATATATACCCACATTTCTGTGCAATAATGACAAACATTAATTAGTAAAATATTGTTTGTTTGCTGTTGTTTTTTTGGTTTCCTATCAACACTTGGGACTTTTAACACTAGTTTCTTATGAAAAATATCATGAGACAATGTTCTCATCTTTATTATCAGTTCACTAGTATTGAAAAAGCAACACTAACATAAGTAGCACCATCCTCATTTACCTGGCCTACATTTTATCTACAGATCCTGAAATCTCAGCCCAGAAGTCATTCACAATGGCGTCAAGTTTGTGTAGAGCAACATATTTTTTACCTTGAGCTGTGGCTCCTCCTCATCAAGAAGTGAAATGATCCCAGCTTTAAAGACAAATATAAACAGAAATGCAACCATTAACGTGACATGTTTTATTCATGTATGCATTCAAAATATCCCAAGCCTTAGTTTAAGCGAATCAAAACAGTTAAATACATCATATGTTTAGACTAGTTTTACCTAATCTACACAACATCATAAGCAAGAGAATATAATCTGTTGAATTATCATCTACTTGTTTAGAAAAAATATGGGTTTCTATATGTAAAAAAAATTACACAAGTCTTAATGTAGCTACAAAGTGAAAATCAATCTCTTTCTTTCTATTGAAATAAAATAAGTTATCACAATTTCTAGTCATTGCTGACACACGATTGAAGGCGCGTTCATTTCTATATCTTTTGTTTTTGATGACATATTTGAGGAAACTACATGTACTGTTTATGTAAAACACGTCTTGTACATCTAGACTTAATGAACATTTTATATACTTTCAGTAGTGAACGACTGACTGACAACTCCACCACTCTGTGACTCAGCTAAATCAATGGCAGCTAGCTAGTTACGGCTATAAAACTAAAACAGGCCTTCAGACTTACCGGCGGATGTTATCATGGTTGTGTTTTATAATCAAATATCTCTTCACCTCTACTTTCGTTGAACGGTGGTCTTTTCAATCAAAATTTATGAGTTACAGTATCTGTAAATGCTCAGCAGCGGCATTAACGCAACCAAAGCTAGTTTTTTTGTTTTTTTTAATGCAGGTCCTTCTGAAGGACCTTTCAATTGGCTGGCCTAGCGTGCGCCTAACTAAAAATCGACGTAAAACATTTCACAGCGTTTACTTTGTTATATAAAATGGAATATTTCGCTATATGTTATAGAAATTACTTATAACATTAAAGTTTATATAGACAAGATTATTTTTATTGAAATAAATTAGAACACGAATAGTTTTAAAAGCGGCATAAGGTGGGCTACCATAAAGCTTTGCCTAAAATCCCCACAGAAAAGTGCCAGTGTTGTTCATCACCCCTCTTCAAGTTATATTAACTTTGCAGATTTAAAAAAACAAAACAAAAACCGAGACTATATTAAAGCCAGCACACAATACATGCTGAATATTTTAGCAACTCACACTAAAATGTTTCAGAGAGGAAATACAGTATGCTAATACTAATATACAGGACATAATTACTTGCAGTGTACCCTCAGTGCGACCAAACAGGCACAAGGGCCTTCTCTTACTCCGCTCCTGTTTCCTGGAACACCTTGCAAAAAGATCTGAAGCTCTCGACCTTTACCTCACTTAAGGATTTTAAACAACAATTAAGTTCATGGCAAAAAAAAAAAAAAAATGCAGACATGTTCCTGTTTTTAACCTTTTACATCACTTTATAATGTAGCTGGGTTTTTTGTTTCCTTTTATATAATTTCTTCTATTTACTTTTCATTTTATAGCCTATGCTTTTTATATGATTGTCTATTGACGTCTGTATCTCATTTGTTTAAAACAGGTCTCTTGTCAATGAGTCCTAGTAGCTCAATGAGACTAACCTGTATAAACAAAGCTTGAATGAAAAAATACGTTAATCAAAAGGCACGATGGTGTTCATGCATAAATGCACAACACGGTAATAGTGGATGCATTTTTTAAAGTTAAACCACACAGGCATGAACGTTCGTTTATGAGAAAACACAGCAGAACTTTTAAAGAATAAAACAGAACATTCACACAAGTTAGAACAAGTTTATTTAAAATGACAAAAAAACTAACATCCTTAATAAATATTAAAAAAGTTACCAGTGTTTGCAATGTATTGCATTTTGGCGAGAAACAATTTTTCTCTGAACTACTGGTATACTCATATAAGTTTAGGATTAAAATGATGTGTGTGTGTATATATATATATATATATATATATATATATATATATATATATATATACGTATGTACTAAAAATCCAAAACTCAATGATCTGCAGTGACTTTTGTGCAGGTAGCTTCTTCATATCAGTGTAAATAGTAGTCTCAAATACTTCAACAAACTAAAAAATATTATTAAAATAAATGTATGGACATAAGCCCAAGTTTATATTTTAAAAATACACTTTTCATGGACAGGTTCAGTAATAAAGGCATAAGTTATAACAGGGCCTTTTAAAACACATGTTTTCATGGCTTGTATTCCCGATGAACAGTCTGCCCAATTGGCCCAGAGTTCTTCAGTTGTATTCTTGATTATGCTTTTTGTTTGTAAAGCACCAACTCGCCTCCTACAGTACTGATAATGTTTAATAAGGTAATGTACACATTTCCCCATGAGTGTTCAAAGCCTGGTGGGAAAGTAGTGTTAAGGTAATAAGACTGCAAATACAATTATCTGTTTTGTCAGTAAATATTGAACACATTCTGTTAAGCAGCAATATTCAAGACAAATTTTTTTTGGCTCAGATGATTAGTTTCCCACCATAAACCAGTGTAATGAGGTTGTGTTACACCACTATTTTTGTTTCCTCAGAGAAAACATAATTGTCCACAGCAATACGTCTACAGTCGGTCTTGTGTCCCAACATTCGTTGCCAACTTATTCACATGTGGCTCAGCAGTGAAGACTTTGTGTTTTAGAGGGAGGCCTTCTTCTTCACTTCCGGCTTCACCTGAAATGTTTGAAACACCGAAATACATGGAAACTTCATTTTGAGAAGAATGATACAGTTGTAGACAATCTGACAAAAGTTATTTTATGACAATTCAGGTTGCTGTTAAGTTGTTTCATTTATTTTAATCTGTCTCATTTAACTCTGCTTAAACTAACCATCAATCTAGCTAAAGGAAATAAAAAGGGGGGAAAATGCAGTACATTGAGACAGCAGATTGCTCCCTTAACATAAAATTGTCTATTATCTTTATTGACTTACTGCAAACTTAACAGATCTTTCTGATTTGGTGCATAGGATCATATCATAGGATCTAATTAAAAGCTATTCCAACGAGTGTTTTTCTCCCATAGTATGCAGGAAGCTCTGAAAAATGCAAGATAATGAAATAGCTAGGGGGAAGAAGAAAAAAAAAACATTTTATGGCAAAGGAAATTATTGAGTCCAGCTCAGTCAGCCTGGACAAATTTTTTGGTGAGGACTGCTACCTTTTTGCCTGCAGTTGGAAGAGTTGTTGGTCTGGCCTCTGGCTTCTCTTCCCTGAGGCCTGAAGCAACATTGGAATGGCCACAAAGGCTGGTTCCTTCTGTCCCCGGTATTACCTGAAAAGCAATAACAAGCATTTAACAGCTTGGCAGCATATCTGACCGCCTGGGCGTTTCATGAATGCTCCCTTTGTTCCACAGACTTTGGGAGCTACTAGACATTCCAGGAAAGCAGAAGGGGGGAAAATGGGGGCAAAAATGTATGGTCTTGTGAGTGTCACACAAACTGACCTACATGATAAAATATTAAAATTAACTGATTGCAACTACATGTTTTAGCAATGACTCAGGCACATATCAAGATTCTAACCATGTTGCATGGACATGGTTGTTACACCTGCTGCTTGTGATGCGTGAACAGCTCTGCTGATGTTTTTCTTGATGCTCAGTATTTTGGCCTCCGCCATGGGGATGAAACAGTCCACCCATATGGTTTCAGGTGAATGTTTGTGGAAAACGAAGCGCATCATGCTCTCCAGGACCTGCGCGCACTGACGCGTCTCCGCGCTCTCCTGCGTCGCGTGTACCAATCCAATCAGAGCTGGCGTCCGGGTGACAGAGGCACGTTTCGTACGTGCCTTTACGTCCTTCAGGATCTCTTTGAGGCACGCCTGGTTTGAACCTTTGCTTATGAATGCCTGTCTGAAGATGAATACGATGACAGGGGAGTCTATCGCTCGCTTGGAGCTGTAAATGTTGCCGTTTTTTGTCGCCGTTCTTTGATTCTTGCCGCCTGGCCGCTGCTCCTTCTCTCCGTCCTCCGCAGCCAAATCCCTGCTCCTCACTGTTAAAGGGATCTCGTTGCTTTCACCAGTCTCTGTCTGCTCGGCGCATCCACGGGCCTGTCCTGTCCTGATCGCAGGGCTGCTGTTGTGAAACATGTCACGGATGAACGCCTGAAAAATCCCCACGTCATCTCCGTCCACCTTCTTTCTGCCGCTGCAGGCGTCGCTGACCAGATAAATGCGCTCCTTTCCTCCGATTTGAGCTACGAGCTTTTGAAATTCCCTCTCCTCCTCATCAGGGAGCGGCTCAGAATCTGACATTTTGACGCAATTACGTTTTAACAAGTAAAAAAAAAGTTACATTTAGCTGACCCAAGCGGCTCTGACTGCCAAGAGAAACTTCCTCACGATGACTGAGGCGTGCGGGTGAGAGCTGGCCGCGTGTTCCTATTGGCTAATCCGCTCAGTGGGCGGGGCCATAGTAAACAGACCAGTTTGTTGGTGATTAGGTTAATCTTTGATGAAAGGTTGAACATAATCACTGGGAAAGTTTATTCCTTGAAGATTATAAGTAAGTAAACATATACTAAGTAAGTAAGACAACATGCAAGAGGAAAGATCATAGATACATTTCTGATGCAACCTTCAAGGTTGTTGGAGGTCACTTTCTTTCCCACTATTCCCATGGAGAAGAGTCCTGTTGTAAAACCTCCATTTCTCATGGGAAAAACAGAAACAAATTATAACCAAAAGAACAGATACGACAACTTTAACCTGCTTTTAGTTTAACTTTAAGATCAAAAAGACTTTTCGCAGGTCTGCAATACATCAAAAAATCTGTTGAGACGCTAATCTTTTAATCCACTCATGTCAGATCGATAATTAAATGATGATGTGACTCAAAACTTCTGGATTTTTTATTTTATTTTATTTTACTAAAATAAAATGAAAGGTGATTTAGCTGAAGAGTTCATGTGTGTTTTGTAACTGTTTACTAATGAATGAATGATAAACTGTAAAGTAACTAAAGGTTTCAGTCACTGACCTTTAGACCAGCTGAGCATTGATCTGGTCAGGAGCTGAACCAGTTCTTTTATACTTTTTCAAACAAAATTCTGGTGCTGGCTACACAATGTGGAGACAATCTAACTGATCTTTTTTTATATTAATAAAAGTCTAATAGTTGAAAAAATAATGTTCCTCTTATTAACAAATAAGAAAAAGTTATATGGAAAACTACAGAAAAAAATTATGAGCCTCAGAAGAAGGAATGGCCATTTTTTTTAGGATTGTGTTGCAATGTTAAAATGCAGGAAATGAAATATTTTCAAATGAGATTAAACTATTTGGAAAAACAGTGGCTCCACCAAGGAGAGACCAGGGATGGCAATGGCCACCCCCTTCACTTTGTAGGCCACCCCACTGGTGCCCTCTATAATCTCTTCTGGCACTTCCAGCCAGACAGTTTTACTAAGCTCCAGCTTTTGTTTGGTGTGCATTTTTACATTTTCCATATCAGTTTGGTATTAGTAGAACCTCCAAGATATAAAAATAATACTGTAATAATAATAATAATTATATATA